TTACACTGCTGGCATACGAATAAAATATATTAGATATTCTTTTTGAAATATTGAAGGATTTAAAAAAAAAATAAATATATTTAGAGCATTATAAAAACCAATAACTGCAAGAAAACAATGACAACTGCAAATTCGGGTATAAAATAAGTTTAATGATATTATTATAATATGCTGTCCGTCGTCCCGGTTTCGTGCGTAGCGGTCGGCGAAAAACGAGGCGCGCACCTCGGCGGGCGCGCGCGCGCTCCACCGCGGATTACACGGCTGTTGTTAATCGATCAGCACTCGGCGGCACTGCCACTGGCTCACACACACACACACACACACGCCTACACACACAATCAAACGTATAATTTATACACTGTACACGAAGTGTTGTGTGCGAACAGTATATTATAATGATAATATATATTTCGTCGTGCAGTGTTCCCGCCGGCAAATAATAATAATATCTAATAATATTATATTACGGAGGGATATTATATACGGAGCGGTCCCTCTCGCCGCCGCGACGGCGAAAGAATCAATTTATGACCCGACGAGATTTCAAAACGCGTACCGAGTACGCACGACGTGTGTGTAGAATAATGTTATATTGTAATATGTGCATATATACATATATACTTTTATACCAACACCATATACCGATCGGCCGCCGAACGGTATTACATTCGTTTTTCCGATATTTTATTTCCCATACACAACGCGCGCCGAACATCCCTCGTCCCTCATCCCTTATATACATATATATACTAATACTATTATTAATATATACGTACACGTGCCGGCATTTATGTGTACACACGCGCGTTACATTGTTATTTATATATTTATTGTGTGTGTGTGTGTGTGTGTGTGTGTGTGTGTGTGTGTGTATTATTATTATTTATATTCCGCGAGCGCATTAATAGTCCGCTAAATCCGTTTAAATTAACGCATTATACCCGCCGCCGTACTACGATTATACATTACGATAAATACCGTTTGATATTACTATTCCTCGCGATGTGTTATTGACTCGTGTAATCCGGTGTAATGAAAAATTGCCCGTATCGACGGGAGGCTGCGATTTACATAATAATAATAATATAATGGCAATGATAATATATAACGTATCGTCGTATTTTGCTATTGCCATGTCGGTTCCGATAAACGGCGCGATCGGAACGAAAAATCCGGTCGACCATAAGGATATGATAATAAAATATAATAATAATACATAATACCTATATGCATATTATTTTATAATAGTAGCTGCCGGCGCCGAAGGTCTTCCGTGGAAGACAGGGCACCTACGACAACTTTATTTTATAAAATACATAATTATTATGTATCCATTTGAGATTCCAACTGGATCGTAAAAGTATTGATTTTACAATTACGATGTTTTTTTTATGTAACGTCATCTTTATATTATGATTAGTAAATTTTAGGTAAATATGCTTTGAACTCAATACTTTTGAGTCTTGAGAGGGATTTCGGGTAACGAGTTGGATTAGGATGGGACTATATATTTAGGGTCAAAAGTAGAAAATGCACAGTTATTTTCAAAATAATCACAAATAGTTTTCTCAAATATTTTAACTTTAAGTACACAATTTGTCTCAATTATTTATTATTTTAACAAAAAATAAAGATTTTATTTATTTTGCTATATAATTCAAAAAATATTATTCGTAGGGGCTTAAGATTTTTTGCCAATATGTATACTATATAGTGTATGTTTTATAAATATTGTTTATCCTCTGTTTACGTTTTTAGGTACTGTTCATTCCTTATACCTATAGTCGATCGAAATCCAATTTTCTTGTATACTGTTCCGATCGTAAAAAAATGTATAACAGATAAGGTGACCAAGTATCTATTTTTGATGAACTAGTTACACCAAACCGTAGTTCAATACGACCGTCGATCCTTCAAACTAATTTATCGCGGGCGCTCGTGTGATCGGATGATAGGAATTAGTGTGATTATTAATGTTTATTAATCTTCAGTCTTTTTTATAACATGTTTATCAGTACTATTTTTTTTATTTCTAACCAACACAATGTCATACAAAACTTCAAGCTGGCATAAACCGGTAAATGGATGGTTCCCTATAGGTTACCTATATAATATTATATTATTTGGCCCATCCACCGATTATGCCTATAGGCTTACAGCAGTTAACCTTAGTCCAACCCCTCTATTACCCGTGCAATACCCCTCTTGTAACGTGTGTGTCATAACTGAAAACAGTATATACTACCTGTAATTTGCTGAATTGCAGGGATTTGTATTGAGATTGTGACTTATACCTATGTTTGATATAATACAATTCCTTGCGAAATAAAATCTCACTTATTATACCGCAATATAACTTATAACGATTCGTAGGTAACTATGTACCTCGTGTATACGTTATACAACATATTATAATATTATGTACGGCGGACTCACGTTCACTGCAATCGCTCTGTATATTACGGGTCGTACAAATATTATTCCTATTATAATAATATATAAGTATTATCATATCAACCGCATAATAATATAATATAATTTAATATTATGTACTTTAATATAATCGTGTGGATGGGTGGAGGGGGGGTATTCACAACTGCGGGTGCTGCGGGGTGTACCCTGGAGCAACGCGAGTACTCGACCACCCCGCGACCAACCACCCATCATCGCCGTCGTCATCATCTGTATATATACACCCATTTAATATAATATATATTGTGCGCGGGCGGTAGTGCGCGGTGGAGAGGTAATAAAGATTAACGAGCTTTCTGATTGATGCTGACAACGGCGGGCGCCCGTCGGGGGCTCGTTATTTACCGTCGGATGCTGTGTGGCTGCAGCAGCATCGCCGCCGCCGCTGCTCTTGCGGTCCCATCCTTCCGCGGAGTTGGCTGCGGTATCCGCCGCGCTCGCGTTATGGCCGGCCCATCGGGTCCAAGATTAATGACGTCCCGTCGACGCGGCGGGTGCGGCGGGAGGGATGAGAGGGGGCGGAAGCAACGACGGATCCGCCGCGCCCGTTTTCCCGCGACGAGCGCACGTCAAAAGATTTCCAAAAGACCGCGTATCGCGTGCGTATTATTATTATTATTATTATTATTATATAATATGGTACTCACAAAGACTTGAGGCAAAAGTACCGTGCAGCGACGTACTGTTAGGGGCTGCCATCGGCGTCTGGACAGCAGTAAAGACATCCCACCCCGATCTCCCCGCTAACCAAATGATTTTGATATCGTGTATAAAGTATAATAGTATAATATTATTACGATGGAAAGCTGGAAATAATCTACTGCATGCATGTATACAGTAATTTTGTTTAAACAAGTGTGAAATGTATAATAATATTAGAAAAATCTTCATATTTCAAATTGGGTAGTTACCTACGTATAGCTGCAAGTAATTATTTATTTGACATTTTTAATATTTGTACTACTGCAGGATAGTTGTTGATATAGATTTAAAAGATCGTAAGTTGTAAATTGAAATTATAATTATTAGACGCTTATTTTAATATAGCTCTATATCAGTGTCTGTATAATATATTATATGATGTATAGTGCGAAGGTGAAACCATAAGACCGTCTAAATGATAATAACAGAAATTTTTAATATAATATAGGTAGGTTGTAGGTTGTAGCCTGTAGGTAACAAGGTACTACACTTTTTAAAAAAAGTGTTTGATGTATAGACAATATAAAACAATATAACTGCCTAGTTACGAGTTTACAATTTCTTCTGATGATATACTTTTTATAGGTACTAACCTAACCTATATATACCCTACCCCCGTCGACGATGAATGTATCTAATTTATTATAATATTATTATACCATCGCGCCGCCGTGCAGGCGTTCGCATATTTTCACATAAACCTGTTGAACTGGCCGTTGGTAAAACGTGCACATTTCCCTGGTAAAACCGCTTAGCTACACCGAGTTACCGAGCTACCGAGTTGTATCGCACGATCGCATATCGGGTATTGCATAACTGCATAATCGCTATCACGCGCATCGTGTATAATATACCACGGTTGCACACGGTAATCATGCTGCGCTCGCGAGGCCTGCATGAGTATCGTGCGCATCGTGTAGGAAACAACGATTCCCGCAACATAAATATTACACAAGTGTTATAAACACGGTAGAATAAATCAAAGACATTATTAGTCGAGCGCATCGCGTTTTTATTGTAATTCGTTTTATCCCTTAACCCCGTCTGAGACGGGAACCGTATGGCAGACGGATAAAAATAATAAACGCGCGTCAGCTAAACTATATATTATATTGTACATTATTATTATACATAATAATAATAAGGCCTGCCAACTGATTTATTATACAGCTACGCCGCAGGGACTAAACCCGTGGCGGTTTTGGTTCGTCAAATTATGTTGAATCGAGGTTTCGGTTATAGGTATTACCAACTCGAAATAAAGTTACACGGTATGAACATAATATAATTAGTATGAACGTATGTTATATACTTATATAGCATTACTTGGAACGACATACCGTGGAATGAAAAAAACTTAGGAAATGGTGATACCCCAAAAAATTAAAAGTCATTAATTGGAACGGCAAACTTATAAACGATAATGTCAAAGTATTTAAGTCAATATATATTTAGATATCTATTTATATATTTATATATTTAGTTATCTTCATCCTCCAAAGATATTTTTTTGGAACAATTCTTAGATTCCAAGCGAATTTAAAAATTGTTTTTTGTTAAATGAGCATATATAGATACACCAAACGTGGTGATCAATTATTGATCGCTGCACTCGAACAGATTATTAAAATCGAAAACATCTTTAGACATGTCATTCATAATTTTCGTATTTCATATAATATTAAATATTATTTAGACATTAGCTGGCCATTTTTTTAGATTTTATTAAAACTGAAAAGAATTTAAAAATAAAAAACAAATGTCTTAAAATGCCAGTGTGAAAACTGTTCCTACTTATTGAAGACATTTTATATGGTACACAGGTATGGTTCAAAAACCGGAGGGCCAAGTGGCGGAAACGCGAGAGGAACGCGATGAACGCCGCAGCGGCTGCGGCTGTAGACTTTAAGAACGGGTTCGGAACACAATTCAACGGCCTCATGCAACCATTTACTGACACCGACTCGCTGTACAGTACTGCTTACACGTCGTACAACAATTGGGCTACCAAGGTGAGAATGAATTTTTTTTAGACAAGAGCATTTTATAACTCTTTTTTTATATGGTAATCGATCAAAATATATAAAAAAAAAAATGGTCATCAGCGTTCGTGACGATAGATTTTACGCGGTATACGCTAGTGTGTTTTCTGGCCTATTTGATATAATTTAATATTTTATAATATCACGTTTTTGTTTCATAATTACCGATTTTTTTAAATATACATATTATTTACTTTTTGCAAGCGGTGGCATACGGTACCCCGTACATTCCCTATATTCTGGTGCTGAATTTTTAGGAATACGTTACGTCGATTTTTTAATATTCGTTTTTCCATTAATTTTAACATACTTTGGCATTGCCCATGTGTGTAACCCCTTGATAAACATATGCATAATTGTATTGTATAAATGGCTGAAAATAATGTATTTTCGTCGAAATTTGATTAAACTAAAAATATATTATAAAATAAAATCACTCAGCAGATCACAATATTATATTATTATAACAGTCATTTTTGGTTTCTAAACATAAGTTGTATCCCCGTTGCATCCATCCGTTCGTTAGTTATATAGTTACAATTGTTAATATAAAATATTAAGTTAATTATTAATAGCCCATCATATAGGCTAGTCAATGTATTTAGTTCCGATTGTTTGCAGTGTTAAGATTTTACCACTGTTCTATTCAAAGTAAAATTATACTAGCCAGTGTTAAAATTATCAACAGTAATTGAGTATTTAATATAGATTCATACTGGCCAATATTACAAATATCGGTACTAAAAATATAAAAGTTACGGAATTCTTTTTAATTCGTACATGGAATTATAGTTGATTGCATTGTATTAAAATATAGGTACGTTTAGAAACCGGGAATTTAGCACGTTCGAAGAGTACTACCCTTTCCTAACTTGTTTAATGTTAGTATTAAAAATAATAATAAATATGTCGACGTACAGGTGCCGAGCCCGTTGGGATCGAAGACATTCCCGTGGTCGGTGAACCCGCTGGGCACAGTGAACCATCATCACCACCAGGCGCCGGTCAACTGTTTCAACGCGGCCACTTCGGCGGCCGGGTCCATGTTGCCGACTCCCGCACCGCAGAACGGGCCACCGTACTGTCCACCCACCACGCCGTACTCCGTGTACCACCACCGGCCGGCCGAGCCGTGCAACGTCATGTCCAGTAGCATCGCAAGCCTCCGGCTCAAGGCCAAACAGCACGCGTCCGGGTTCGGCGGTTACCAGCCCGCGGGTTCACCGGGTTCGCTGCAGGCGCAGGCCAACGGCGGTAACCGGTCATCGTCGTCGTCGTCCTGTCAGCAACAGTACGGCGGCGGACAGGGCGCGGGTGGCGGTGGTGGTGGTGGCGGCGGCGGGAATTCCGGCAGCGAAGGCACGCGGACGCCCGTCTGACGTGAAGAGCGGACCGGAGGGAGCGTCCGGTACACGGTTGAAGACCTGTTGGACTTCAAAGAGGAAATGGATGACGGCGACGGCGGTGCGTCTGTCGCGGGTGGTGCCGACAGTGGTGACGAAGTCGACGGCGACGGTGACGGTGACGACGACGACGACGATGACGACGACGGTGACGAAGACGATGAAGAGGTGGACGCGGGGGTCGACAACCTAGTCGAAGACCAACTACACCACCACCATCATCTTCACCACCACCACCAGCAGCAGCAACAGCAGCAGCAGCAACAGCAACAGCATCACCACCACCACCACCACCAGCAGCAGCAGCATCAGCAACAGCACCAACAACCGCAGCAACAGCAGCTGCAGCAGGTGGACGGCGGTGGCCGGACAGTCAAGCAACACGCCGAGTTGGCGCAAATGCACGCTGCCACCGCTGCCATGCTTTAATCGCTCGCCTGCGCCGTCGTCGTGGCTTGTACGTATTTTGTATTTTGTGTATATTAGCTTTAAAAACGTGTACAAGTACCAAAGGGGTGTGTTACCACGTCTTCCCCATAAGGTTAACGCAAGAAACCCGGAAAACCCACCCTGAATTGTATAAGTGTACATAATTTACGTGTTTTGTACATATTGTGTGAGTTGTGTATAAATATATTATGTGTTTGATGCCGACGTCCCCCCTACCCCTCTAAATGCCTCCCATCCCCTTCACACAGTCGAGTAGAAATGATTAATAAAGGTATTATATGCAGGGTTTCCCATAAAGTACCTATGTACTTTTTGAAAAATGAATAAATCATTAGAATTTTAATGAAATGCATTATTTCTTTATATTTACCACCATAAATAAGAAACAAAACGGGGTAATCAGTAAATAATAAAAATTACGAGAACCATAGTGGTGCCAACCAAATATTTTAAAAATGTCGCCAGATTCTATAAGTGCGTACTTTGTGGGACACTATATATATTATATGGGACCATCGGAAGACCGACTCATCTTCGACATATTTTGAAAGTCGCAAAACATCGATATTTATCGTTTTTTCTGTACTCTTATACGGAGACGAGTTCATTATTTCAAAAATGCAAGACCATCATCGTGGTGGGTATTTTCGTTTTGTCTGTCGCACCCACATGTAGAACGTTGCCCACCCACCCATCTTACATATTATACCAATATTGTCGTTTGACTTTTTGCTGACCTAAATCCGTATTGCAGAATGGATCGCCGCTTACCACGCGGTATCGCTGGAAAACGCAGCGTCTTCCGTGGCTCACTCTGTATATACGCATACGGTTGCCTCGACTTCTCGCCTCTAAAAAATATCCCTGACCTGCAATGTATATTATTATTATTATTATTTTATCCTACGCCCTAACTTATTGTCTACTAAATGAACATAACATAATATTATGTATTGTGTAAGTCTATCATATTATTATTATTATTATTATTATTATTATTTGTTTCATTTACGAACGGTATGTATATTATAATTATGCGTATTTTGTACAGTGTGTATACGATACCCACATAATGTATATTTGAATACCTAGTTTTTGAGTATATATTATATTATTATATTTTACGAATATTATTACGGCAATAATATAGAACCATTCGCCTAGTCCAATATTATATATTATAATAAATCACATGTTTCCGTTTTGTAATTATATACCTACCAGCCTGCAGCTGGAAAATACTAACAAGCGTAGAAAAATATTCATTCATATATTTTTTGATGATTGCCGAAACGAGTACTTACCTATCAAAGCGAAGAGACATTTTTTACAAAAATCTTGACACGATTTTTGAACTAAATCTCAGAATTTTAATTATTCCATCAAAACGTCAAGATTACACGAGTTAGATATTTCTTGAAATAGGTTAATATTATATAATAGTATAAATCGTAATTTTCTCTGAGAATAATCATTCATGCGCAACATCGAAAAACAATTTGTTATAATATATTACATGTATGATAATATATTACTCATATCTAAAACAATCCATAAACAATTTTTCTAAATTTTTTTACGGAACTCGTAGAAGTAACTTGAATTTTTGGAACGTGAGAAACTACGACGGTAAATTGATTTGAAATGTTGAATAGAAACTTTTTCGATTAATTCGATGTTTGCAATATAAGCGTATGCCACGGTCTATACCTATATTATGGTAAGGTTTATAGTATATACATTATACATATATAAGTAAATTTAAAAAATCAGGACCGTTCAAGCTTGTGACAATGTTTTATTATTTTTAAGGAAACATATTGTATTGTACCCACAGGTTTTCATTTTTGTTTACGTGTAATAAATAATATGTATTTCTAAAATTATTTGAAAGTCAATAAAAATTGTAGGGTCGTTCAATTTATAGTGATATACCTATATATTGTGTACATGTTTTTATCATTATTATTTTAATCAATAACATCGTGTATAGAATAATATTTCCACACACGCAATGTATAACCGTTTTGTGTAACGTGTATTTTATATTATAATATATTATATATGAAAAAAAAAATACTACTAAATAATTATTATTGTACGACATTATTCGTGTAGTTAGGTGAATTTATAAATTTTTTTCTTTTTGTTCTACGTTTTACTGTAATAATAATAATGAGTGTTGAAGAGAAATTCAAACATAATAATTTTTGTTTTTTTGAAATGGAAAACGCATTCCACTATATTATCATCGGCTGCAGAGTATACAATAATATGTGAGTATTATATTATATTATACATATACATATACATACATATTATACACACCACACAACAAATATATTTTGATCCTCGTTTCATCTATATACTCTATATATATATATATATATACATTTCTATACAAATAATATAATATAATGTATTATGAATACATTCGTATACTATATTATTATGTTATGTTATATATTATGTGCATCGATATTGGATCGAACGAATACCACTTACGTATATAATATAGAAGTATATATACCTAACCTATATACACGTTATATAATATATTATGCGTACCGCAATATTGAAATCCTAAGACCGCCATAATATTGTTATTATTATTATTCGCCTAATCCTCAGCGATACTTGGATTCCTATTGTTGTGCTATGTTCGTTGTATATTGTATCATATATATATATATATATATATATGTGTGTGTGGGTGTGTGTAATACGTTCTTATAACAGATATTATTGAAATAAATATCTAATATATATATTTATATGTGCTCCGTGTTTGTATAATATAATAAAAAAATAAACGATCCGAAATGGTTGGGGCGGCTTGGCGAGACGGAAAACGGGTTCGACGCCGAAAACACTTTCGGGGCGATACGAACGGATTCGCTTGCAGTCCGCGCAGTGCACATTTATATAATAATAATATTATACACCTAATACATAGATCTCACTACACACAATAATAATAATAATAATACATTGCGCAATACGATATTTTATGCATCGAAAAACGCGAATGCGAGGAAAACCAGGAGATTGGCATTCTTTCTTCACTTTTCTTATCATATTTTACTATACATGTAACATGTACCTGTATATAATAATATATAGACACACACACTTATATAGTATATATTGTATAATATAATATATGTTATATATTCCGACACGGAAATGCGCTACATTACTATAATAATATATTATAAATAGTGAAAAACTGCGATGCGAGTTCCGTGTCGGTTTTCTAATAGGTATACCTACGCGTAAAATGTCGTGTGGAAAGATAAAACGGATAACGCTATCGTTTTCGTATATCCGAAATCCAAAATCCATAATATTATAGCCAAGCCATATAAGGGTAATTCTCCAAAGTAGGCATAAATAATATATATTATATATTATATAGACGATAACCAATAATATAATATTATAACGCGTCTGCCGGTGGTTTTATTGAAACAAAACTGTACGTTTTATTATTATATATTGCGGTACACACGGCACATGGTATACGTAGGTACACCAGATACCTATATTGGCTATTACCTAACCTAAGTATAAAACATTAAAACGTGTCTGATTCACTGCAATAGCACGACAACGAATGTGTAAAAGGGGTATCCTACAATACTATATCCTTTTACGAAATACCCTTTATTATAATACGATTGTATATTATGTATATTTGAAATAAGAAATTTCACTTCTATTATATTGTTGTAGGTATCTATATTTATTATGCACTGTTATGATATTTTTTTCGATTTTGTTTTGTCAAATGATGCGTAGAAAACAGGACCGCAAAATGGTAAGTACGCATATATAGCTTTAATACGGAAAAAAAATACAAGACCCAAACAAACGAATGTGTCAATTACCTCAATGAATAAACCGCAAACGCCATTAGAGATTGAAGTACCTATCGGTATAAAGAGTTATAAATATATGGGCATGAACTGTATGTGACAAACCGACAGTCATTATTGGTGCGTAAACGTAGGCGCCACCTATCATATTTTATATAAAAAATAGACAGGCGAATCGACAGAAAAACAATAATCGAACTCAGTGGCATATATAAGGGGTGGACACAGTGGGCTGCAACCCCCCTCCCCCTTCCAAAAATTACAGTATTTTTAAATAGAACAACAATATATTTTATTAGGTACTATTATAAGTTATAATATTTTAAAGCCTGTTGAAAAATAACAAATACGAATATATTTATAGAAACTGTTAAATATATAGTAGACAATAGCTTCTAAGTAATAGATCACTCGCTAGTTTCTGTCTACTAAAGCCAACCCCAAAAATTATTTCTATTTACGCCACCGTTAAACATGTAAGGGCAATCGGTACATTCAGTTGGGGGCAACTGGTACATTTGGTTGAGGGCAACTGGTATATTTTTAAAATCCTGATAACAGCCGTGGGGGGAAACTGGTCAACACCCATTTCTTACACTAAGAAAAAACTATACAATTAACATGAACCTAAATAGTTGATTAAAATGTTTAAAAACTAAACTTTCAACATTGTTAACATCTCTGTACTTTTTTCATACAATAAGTCAATTACTTGATCCGAGGTCAATTCTGCCTTAATAAATAACAAGTAACAACCCCATACACGCCAAATATTGTGCATACAATCTAGCCGAGCGTCTATTTATATTATTATGATCAATACTAAATAAATAGATAATAATAAACTAATAGTAATGGTTTTTATTAAAATTATTATTTAATAAACATAAACAAAATTCATAATAATATTATGTTACCTACTAATTTAAACACACCTACCTATGAAACACAAAAATAGGAGTAGGTACGTAATAATAATTATTGAAAAATTTAAAATAAATTACTTTTAAATAAATAAATATACTTTTTCCACTCATATCTCATTATTTCAATAGTACCTAGTTAACTTTTACATTGACTTTCCTGTGTACTAATTTAGAC